TATTTTTTGTATTCATAGGTGTTTTCATAACCAAAAAGACAGCTTTGTCTTTGAAAACTTTGACTTATATTTACTAGAATATTGTTTTATTCATGAGAGCATAATATAGTATATTATTAGCAGGGAACTAAAATGCATCCAGGTTTTGCTGCTCTGAGACATGATCCAAGAGGAACTGCTCTGTATTGACTCTGCACAGTTCATGGAAAGTTTGAGAAGTGTCCAAAGTTTGGGGGGAAAATAAAGGCAGAAAAAAAGAATATATTTCTCCCCATCACCCGGCCAAATATTTTGTTAATCAGGCCAATTTTAAAATCTCATCATACACTAGCAGGGGATACCAAGAGCAATATTCACAAGAAGCCAGGACAGATCACTTCATTGATGTATGACGCAAGCCCACACCAATCCCTGAGGTCTTCTACTGGTTTAAATAGGCACTGAATCATTCTGAAGATCAATCTAATGAAATGGTTGTGAAGATGACCATGGAAGAAACAAAAATTTTCACATAACTATTAACACCAGCATAGGGGTATAGCATGGCTACCATGAAAGAGCAATGACTAAAATCCCCTCAAGGTCAAGGGTGGCGATTTTGGCATGTGAATGACCTACCTCCCCTTACATCTCCAGTCTGACATATGCTCTGTGTAGTGCCTCTGGTCTTCTCTCTTGAATACTGAGTTTATACCTGATTGACTTCTAAATGGCATAAGATTGTGCTTGGTTTTATTTCTGTCACATGCCTTCCTATTTTTGAAGTCTTTTTTTTTTGCTATGTGTTACAAAAATACAAGAGTTTTCTCAGTAGGGAGCTCTCCTGCAGAGACACCCCAGATGTGACTGGCAAAAGTGAAAAACACAGTGAAAGCAAAGGGGGAAAAAAAAGCACCAAATTTCAGGAAAAAAAAAAGTAGAGTTTTTTTGCCCTTTTGAAAAGCAATCTGTTTGTACTCATCTCTGAAAAAAGTCTTTTATATTTCCATAGATTGGAGGTAAAAAAAAAAGAAAAAAAAAACACCTATAAAGTGTTAATAAAGCTCTTAATTAAAGTTCTTGGGGGGAGTTGAATATCAAAAGAGTTTTTATGGTGTTTGCAGTATTTTACATAAAATATTATGCTTTTATATCATCTGTGTCTTCACTTCTTAAAAATGAACAAAGATGCCTTCATATATTCCAGTCTTTCATTGAAATGAACTCCCCTATCATGGATTAACTCAAACACAAAACATACAGACTACTAATATACTGACACTTCTTCAGCATGAATCTATCCAGTACTGTAGAATAAGCCGTAATAGAAAATTTGACTGGGCCAGAGGTAGCAGGTGTAGCAAGATAAATTCTATAAACAATAATACAATATAAAAACTGAAAATAAATAGGGATCTTGAAGATCAGAACTAGAACTAGTAAATAATAGTGACTCATAGCCAAACGACACTGTATATTCAAATTATTAAAGCACAAGGGACAAAAAAGTATCTCAAAAACCTGAGCTAGCAATTGTGCTTAATTAGGGAGTAAAATGCAAGACCAAAGTAAGGTGACTTTCATGGAAATAAACATGTTGATGGGAGGTGCAAAATCATTTGGACAGATGAGTTTGCGAGCAACACCACAAGGAGAGGATGATTATTAAAACCTCCTTGCTGTTCCAATGAATTCCGTACTATGAATAGGCAAAGGTATTAGTGCTTCAAAGAGAAACCATTAAAAAAAAAAAGCAGCAGTTTCACTTGATAGAAACTGATTAAAACAATACTCTTTTAGGGGATGTTCTTATCAAAATGGTCTGCGCTCTTATAGTTTCCTTAGAAATTTTGTCTCATTAATTTTGAATACTCTAGCTCTGCCTATGGTAAGTAAATACAACACAGAGAAAGCAACAAATTGTCCCTACATTACAAGTCAAGAAAATGGTGTTCTTCAGATATTTGGGGCCAGTATGGCCTTGTAGCAAAAAAAGTAATTTCGCTCTGTCTTTCAAAGTGGAAATGCTTCCTTTCTGATGCTCTTGGGTTCCAGGGAGGGAAGCCCCTGACACACACATATTGCAGGAAAGCAGATTACATTGTACAGCCAGCATCAGAAAGCTTTTAGCCACCAAAATCACAAGTTAAAAATTAACTAATGAAAAGAGGAATTAGAACAGTTTTCCATATCGTCCTAACACAAGAACTATCCCTAGTTCTGGAGTCAAGGTAAAAACTGGCTTCCGACTTGATTTAAGACAGGACTGAATGTTTTAACATACTACACAAAGTCGTCATCATGTCAACCTGCCAATGGATATTTCTTCTGCTTGCATCCCGAAGTTATCCCTCCAAATTATTTCAGAAACTTAGGTGAATGAAGAGAGAAGTGCCTAACAGGTCAATGCAGTCGCATCTTTTTGCACGTATCTTCCCATCTACCGTCCATGCAGAGAGGTGGGTGTCTCCAAGTGGGATCCAAAAGGCATGCTGCAAAGGAAATCTTCTAGGACTAAAGAGCAGGAAACCCTTTTAGGGAAAGGTCTTTTGTTTAGGGTAACACACGGAGCAGCAGCAGTGCCCAGCCTATTGGCTTGCAGGTGCTCAGGAAGATAATATTTTCCCTTCCCTATTTCCCTGGACTGTTTCAGATTTATGGATAATAGTGGATAAAATACAGAGACTCCTTGGGAGCTGGAATCAGAATCAACTACCGCTTGCATCTGAATACCTTAGGTTTCTTACTCAGATCCAGAATTTTAACATGTTATATTACCTCAACACTTGAATAGAATCATAGAATCGTTAAGGTTGGAAGGGACCTCTAGAGGTCATCTAGTCCAACCCCCCTGCACACTCAGGGTCACCTGGAGCACGTGGCACAGGACTGCGTCCAAGCGGGTTTTGAAGAGTAACTAAAAGATGCAAAAATCTAAACTCTGGTTTGAATACTTTATCTTTGCACCACTGTCATGTTGATTTCTAGCCACAGAAGGCCCCTTTTAATTTCACTTTGGAAAAATTATTTTATTCCAGCTGATTATTACCCTCCCAGAAGGGCTGGGACTACAGTGAAGTAACTAAAGCCATGTGTGATTGTTTCATTAGAGAAACAGGAGCATGTTCGCCCTAGATGTGTACATCTACGTTGAATATGATTACCGCCATGGGATTTCTGTTTTTCAACCTTTCCTAAACCATAATCACAGTGTACTTCTCCAAGGACCGCTGTTAAAAGGGCTATTAAATTGAGATTTGACATCAGCAGGGAATGAGAATACGCAGAGAGATTTCAACCTGAAATGACAAAGAGGCGATCAAAAAGACAGTCCAAACAACTACGTAACCAATTAATGTCAAATACCACACACAAAAATATTGCTTGCAGATGATCCCTGATTGCTGCAGACACAGCTCTCAGGGGATCTGGGCCACGGGCCTCCCATGCCTCTTCCAGCCCGAGTCCCACATGGGGACAAGGCAACCTTTGCTGGCCAGCAGTAGATGCTTGACTTCCAAAAGCCAATCCTGACTTTTGGAATCCAAAAGTCAAACCTGAACACATGGCTTGCACTATAGTGCCTGTTTATGGAACTTCCAGCAGAGGAGGCTGGTCGGTGGGAATCCTGCTCCTTCCCATATATCACATAGGCAGCCCAGGACATGGGGAGCCCCCAGCAGAGGTTGGTCGGTAAGGCCAGTAAGGCCCATCAGTGCCCCAGGCCCTGGCAGGGAGTCAGTCAGGACTGCTCCACTCGCACTTCTCCTAGTCTGCATCTTCTCAGCTCATGCCACAGGTTCTTTTAAAAAGCAAACCTATTCAAATTTTATTCACAGAGAACCTTGCCCAAAATCAAAATAAGTATCAGTATTTTTTTTACTGGCTTGGGTCATTTGTCTCATAAATAATGTCAGTTCCAATTCCTGAGTTGAAAGTATGCACATATTCTTAAATGACATATTCTATTTGATTTGTTTTAGTAGTAATTAAGATTAAAATGCACTTTTACAACTTTTTAAAGGCTGCTTTAAAGTGTTTTGTAGAGCCTAAGCAATCCAAATATACGTGGCATTAAAAATGTAATTAAGTTCCGATAAAGAAATGAAATGTCTACATACACATCTACATCAACATCATTTTCTCTTCAAGTTTTCTAAAGTATTGGATCTACCCTGGGAACTACTAATTATGAACATCACTTTCAAAACAATTATTTTTAGAAACACTCAGCTTTTAATTCTATCAACGGCCTTTCTCATTAACAGTGTATTTAAAAGCAAGTTCAAGTATAGAATTAAGTGAAATGTTTAATAACTTAAGTATGTATGCTTAATATAGCTGCAAAGAGGAAATCACAAATGGTTATAGCATCAATTATTCTAAGAAATAAAATAAATAAATAAAAGAATAAATCTACCTGCAGGTACATTGACATGAAAGAGCTCATTTAATTCAACCACTCCTCTGAATCTTGCTTTTATCCAAAAAAAAAAATTCTATATAGGCTGTTTAGCTTTAAAATAATAGGGTTTAGTAGTTAGTCATTCTAACCATTCAAACAAACACATTAAAACTTGAGTACTTGTAAACCTTTCAGAGTGATAAATGAAAGATAATAACCCCTTGATCAATGTAACTTTTATTTATTCAGTTGTGGGAACATGGCAAGGATATTGTTGCAACAACACTGCCTGGGAGAACATGGATTTAACATAAACTGTTTTGGCAGAAACACGCATTTAAATAATCATCCAAATCACCACCTCACTATTCCTATTTTTAAAAAATAGAGAGAGAGAGAAAGAGAAAAAACATAAAGTCTGAACAAATGAACAGTGTAGGAGATTATTTTTCTCTTTAACGTCTATGCCAGCTTCAATAGCTGTCCCTGTATTTAAGTCATAATCTTCAGCACTAATATTGACGCCTTTCATTTGCAAACAGGTTATAAACATCAACTGACTGTAATTGTCCCATAGAATCTCTCCATAGCAAATCAACAACATCTCCTAGTCTGGGGAATTGCTGAATTAAGTTTGTTTTAGCAGCTCTCTGTATGACAGCATCTAAATCTTGCAAAGTGCTACATGTACAGGGGAGTTTAGCATGAAATGACTGACGGAACTATAGCATAAAATCAAGCAGATTTTTCCATTCAGTGCTAATATATTGTTGTGCAATACAAGAACATTTGACCAGGACAGGATGCAATTTAATGTAAACCATTAGAAGTGAAAGGTGTTATTTTGCCTAACGAAATCTCCCCCTCGCAGTCCAACTCACACACAGAGTCGGTGCCAATCTCACGACCAGGGGAGATCTGGGACATCCTATCAAAAAGGTCCTCACGATTTTCCTCACAATCAACGACATTTGGGATGATGTTGACATAAGCAGTCACTATCTCCTTATGGAAAAGGGTGTCCTGATTGTAAGAGATAAGCTCATTGCTTATATTAACAGTCTCCACCGGAGTATTAGAGCAAAATTGGCTGCATCCCAGGAGGTTGGAGAAGACCTTCCTAAAATCAGCATTGAAGGCATAGATAATGGGATTGAGAGAGGAGTTGGCCCAACCAAACCAGACGAAGACATTAAAGGTGGTCTCACTGACGCAGGGAAGACCAGCATGGGGGTCGCTGCGGGGACTCTCGCAGAAGGGAACCATGCAGTTCAAGATAAAGAACGGCAGCCAGCAGCAGACAAAGACCCCCATGATGATGGAGAGAGTCTTCAACACCTTGGTCTCTTTCCTGATGGAGGACTTGAGGCTGGTGTGATGGTGGCAGTCAATGTGGTTGCTCCGGCAGCTCTGCGCATGCTCAGCTGCCCTCTCCAGGGACGAGATCCGACGAATCTGCACCTGGGCAATGCGGTAGATCCGAGTGTAGGTAACTATCATGATAGCCACTGGAATATAAAAACTGATGAGGGAGGAGGAAATAGCATAAGTCCTGTTGAGGCTGGAGTCACAGCTCTCGGCTGGTCCAGCAAGGGTATCATTGCTGCCAGAGGTCCCGTCAGAGGGTCGCATTGCCGCTAATGCCACCCATGTGGTGCTCATGTCTTCTGCCCAGGTGGTTACAGCACCCACTGCTGCCCAGTCAGATCCACCTCCAACATCCCCAGCAGCAGCCACATCGCCACCCTTGTGCCAGTTGAGCTGGACAGGGATGAAGGAGATGAGCACAGACAAAGCCCAGGCCACGCCAATCATCACCAGGGCCAGCCTTTGGGTCATCTTCCTCTCATAGCGGAAAGGGCTGGAAATAGCCCAGTACCTGTCCACGCTAATCACGCAGAGGTTCAGGATGGAGGCCGTGGAGCACATGATATCAAAGGCCACCCAGACACTACAGAAAGCCCCAAAGGGCCAATACCCGGCCACTTCGGCCACTGCTTTCCAGGGCATCACTAGCAGCGCCACGAGCAGGTCCGAGATGGCCAGGGACACGATGAAGATGTTGGTGACCTTGCTCCTCAGGTGCCGGTAGCGGACGATGGCCGCGCACACCAGCACGTTGCCGAAGAGCG